AAAAAAAAAAAGGAAAAAAGGTAGGGATGAATGTCACAAGGTCTGATATTTGCTTCAAAGTATTTCAACAAAGAGGGGTGCCTGGGTGGCTCAATTGGTTAAGCATTTAACTCTTGGTTTTGGCTCAGGTCATGATCTCACAGTTTGTGGAATCAAGCTCTGCGTCAGGCTTGGTGTTAACAGTGCAAAGCTGGCTTGGGATTTTTCTCTCTACCTCTCTCTCTCTCTCTCTCTCTCAAAAAAAAAATCAAAGTGAAAAAGAAAAAATAAGAAGCAAACGTTGGATACATAGGGTGTACACGGGGTTCATTAACCCATTTTCTCTACCTTTGTTTTCACAAATGTCTGTAAGTCAAAAAATTAAAGTATTACATTATTGACCACAAATTCTGGATAAAATATAACAAAATTAAATTACACCATATCCTCATATACAGTGAGATTATTCCATTTTTTCACTTTTTCTGATGGAATGAATTATCCTAACATTTCTTAGAGAAGGAAGTTGAAAGTAAAATAAACTGCAACTGTATGTCAATGTGACCCTTATTCCTCAGTCTTTGACATTCTTTCATTTTTTAAAATTTTTATTGAGGGAGAGGGGGGAGGGGTAGAGGAAAAGGGAGATTTTTTTTTTTTTTTTTTTTTTTTTTTTTTTTTTTTTTGAGAGAGAGAGAGAGAGAGAGAGAGAACATGAGCAGGAAAGGAAAGGAAACAGAGAGAGGAGAGAAGAATCCCAGTCAGGCTCCACATTGTCAGCACAGAGCCCAATGTGGGGTTTGAACTCATGAACCATGAGATCATGAACTGAGCTGAAACCAAGAGTCAGGATGCTTAACCAATTGACCCACCCAGCGCCCCCTGAGTCTTTGAGATTCGGACCACCAAAGCTTATGTAGGCATTGTATTTTCTTTCCACATGGAGTAAAGGCATGGCTCTTCCACTCATCTGTTCTTTTAATAGCATCTGCCTTAGGATGGTGCTATTTTCTCAGGTAAATTGTCACAATGCTTATTTCTCTGCTGGGCTGAGCTGGCCTGGGAAAGGCTTTCCATCTGCATTTCACACACCTGCCCCCTGGCTTGATGGAAGACAGTATCCCACTCCATCTCAGATATAAAACAGAGCAGATTGCTTAATATCTCATGGGGCTCCCCCTGCTACTCCTCATGACACCTATGAAGATGAATCTGTTTTTCTGTGATGAGGAAGATGTGAAAGGGAAAAGAAGATTTAACTGCCAAAGTGCTGCAACTTTCATGGGCAACAGCAGCTTCTTCCACAGAGCTCATTCCCAGCCTCTTACAAGTGTACGTGAAGAACACGCATCTGCATGGACAGAACCACAGAGACATTACAAGTGCTCACTCTCCTTCATTAAAAACGTTAAGTTACAAATAGTTCAATTTATAAATAGTCTAGGTGGGTGGCGCACCTAGTTCTTTACCCTGAATCCAAATATTGCCCTTACAGTACTTTCACCAACCTGCTCCATAGCCAGTATCTTACCCTAAAGAGGAAGCTCAGCCTTCCCCAATTCCCTGAGTCCAAATATATCCAATTCCACAGGCCTACCTAACCCCGCCTAAAAAAAGGACCAATCACTGCCCTAGGAAGGCAGAAGGGGGTAGGGGGCCAGAGCCAGCAATGATGTGGAAGGGATGTGCTCCCAAGTGAGGGCAGGACACCCCGTGTGGAAGAAGCCAGGCTTGTAGTCCTAAAAGAGTGACTTCCCTGTCAAAGAGAAATCGATTTTGCAAAAGGCTACAGTCTACAGGCAGGTGGAACTGTCTTTTAGGCACCTCTAGCAGACCCGCTACGGGCCCATGGTTCTGAAGGCTGAGTCCAGGGCCTTCTACTCTGGTGTCAGGTGTGCAGCTCAGAGTGTCCCATACACGCTGACTTTGGCCAGGGAGATGCTCTCGGTGTACTGATTCCGGCCTTTCTCATACAGGACGTAGAGCTGGGGGGCCTGGTCCTTCCCGCCCACGTTGCCCTCCAGGGCTGCCAGTGAGGAGTAGCCACTGGGGCCTGGCCACAGCTGGACTGTCTCTTTCCGCCATGATGTACCATTGCTGAAACTCCAGCGCAGGGTCAGGTTCACTCCTGGGGAGGGCAGCAGAGTCAGAAAAAGGAGGGTCTGTGGCCACACCTTCTCTAGATAAAAGGGGCTCCCCTGACGACCCCCCCCCCCCAACAGACACTCACGGAACTCTGGATGGGCTGGATTGGAGAAGAAGACAATGCCGGAGCTGGTGGCTACAGCTCCTGCAGCTACCACAGGGTCCACAAGCTCAGGGTCGAAGGTCACATCACGAGGCCGTATGGTATCACAGGCGTCATAGCTGCGGAGGACAATTCGGCAATGGCAGTGGTAGTTGTTTTGGTTCCGGGCGTTGATGACGACTGAGCCATCTGGGAGCTCATAGGGCTGAAGAGAGGGAAAATGGCTTCAGGAAGACCCAGGGAGGGGGCAGGGCAAATCCTGGGTCTGTGAGTGAAATGGTGCTCTGGAGGGCAGGGCCGGTGGAGTGGGTGGGGAATAGCCCATGGACTCCTGACCTGGCACTCATCAGGGTTGAAATCGTTTTCCCGCTTGGGCTGGCCATAGGGGATGCCGCTGACCCCACTGCCATAGCGCCAGGTGGCACCGTGATCATCACTGAGGAGGCAGAAGACCCCATCCCGCTCCAGTGTCCCATGGCCACACACGATGAGGCGGCCCTTCCGCGGCTCCCACTGTTTCTGTGGGAAAGGAAGCTGGATGTCACTGAGGGAGACACTGTAGAAGCTCACAGGTAGAGAAGGAGAACCCATCACCTCCTAAGTGTGAGAATACATCTGGTCCTCTTCAATTCTGTCCTTGGTACTGAGGGTCCCGGGAGGATCCCATAAGTATCCACTGCCTGAATTAAGAAACTCTTGCAGAATAAGCTCCTTTAGGACATCTAGGGTATACACCGGATAGGTTGTGCATCAAACAAGGGGGTCCAGCCACAGAGGTGTATGGGAGCTTAAACCCATGCTTGGTGTGCTCACTCACCAAGCTGTGTACAACCCCCAAATGGGAAGACAATGGCAAAATTCTATCTTTCCTCAGGAGGGGGTTCCTCCCAGGATGCCCCTTTCTTCCAAGGAATCCCATCTAAGAGAAAATCTGACTTCATAAGTCCTTCTCCCTGGGAAAAAGTCTAACTGGGGGCATCTTCCAGACTCTCCAAAGGGCAGCACCTTCCACCCATCTCAGGATAGAGACCTGAATGCCTGAGCCTGGTCCAGGGGCAAACATCTCGGTGCCAATATCCAAGGAGAGGTTCCGGGGAGGGCTCCAGGAAACACCATCATCTTTGCTCCACACCAACATAGTGGAGGCCACCTGGCAGCCAGCCTTGTGAGCACAGAGGGAATAGAAAAGAAACACCACTCCTGTCTCCATATCATTCACCACTGCCCCCAGGTTCAGCCCATCTGGGGTGTCCCCATCATCTACAATGAAGGCTGTAGGAGACCATGTGCTGCCTAAAGAAAAAAGAGAAGAAATCCAGGGTGAGCACTCGAAGCCTTTTCTACCTCTCCCTGTTAATTTCCACCTCTTGCTAGGGACCCAAGGCCTTAGAATGGCCCCAGAGCCCTAAAAAACCTGCCTCCCCCGCCCCCCGCCTTACGTGTCTGACCTTATCTATTCTACCCTTGCTCACTCCATCCTATCCCACAAGCTCCTTCTCATTCCTCAAATAGTTTTCTCCTGGAGAAAAGTCACAGGCTTGTGACATCTGCCTGGTACATTCTTCCTCAGGGTTACTCTCACCTTCTTTACTCAAAAGTCACCTACTTAAAATTGCAACCAATCTGCAACATCTTGTTTTATTTCTCTCCATTATATTTATCCCTTTCCAATACAAAAAATAAACTCGCCTATTTATTATGCTTATTGTCGGTCTCCCCACAGACAATATAAGCCCCATGAGGACAGGGATTTTTGGTCTACTTTGTTCACAGCCATATTCACACAACCTAGAACAGTGCCTGTATACAGCAGGTGCTCAATAAATTTTGAATGTTCAACCCTAGGTGATTACAATTTCCAGATCACTGGTCTGTACTGCTTCCCTCTTTAAGTCCCCTCAGGGACTCAGGCCTCCAGCCTTCCCAGAGGTCCTATGTCAAGAGCCCTTGGGCAGGTCAGTCTCCCCACCCATCCAGCCTAACACCAGCACTTGCCACTCAGGAATCTTTATACCTTGGTCCAAGGACCTACGAAGAGCAATGAACTTGGCCCCCTCATCCGATGTGGACATTTTTCTGGCCTCAGCGAAGGCAAGGAGAGTGCCCTGAGGAGTGGTTGTGATGAGCGGAATTCGGAAGGTGTGCACAGAACCGATCTGCCTCCCGCTTACCCACAGCAGCTGCTCCATGGTCACCAGCGGCTGAACCTGCGAAGGGAGGAGGAAGGATCGATACAAATTTGACTTCAGGTTTTAGGACGGTTGAATAGTGGCTCGGAGTCGAGTGTCCCTGGGAAAGACGGGGTGCTGGGAATCAGAGTGGGAGGGGGTGTGTGTCCTAGAATAAGGAAGGGGAACCTGAGGACAGTTTGGAACGAGCTGGGGGCTCGGAGCGGGGGAAGGGCTCTGAGGGGATTAGGAACCTTCTGGGAGGCTGGAGCTGGAGAAGGAGCTGGAATGAAGAGGAGACTCAGAGGGCAAGAGGACAAGGACCCGTTGAGGAAGAGGGGTTGGGAATGGATGGAGGGAACGGGGTCCGAGAGCGGCGGGAGAGTCCCTCGGAGGAGAGGGATCTCAGCAGCCCGCGTCCGGGGGGACGCTAGATACAGACCACCCGCGTGGGTCGGGGATGGGGATATACGAGGGGAGACTCACCAGGCTGAAGTCATTCTTTGCCCTGGCGCCAGATTCTGCCAGAGACAAAAGCAGCAGGAAGATGATCGTGGCCAATACCTGAAATCTACAGCCTCCCCAGAACCCCGGCATCCGCGGCTCCCCGGGTCTGCCCAGGAGCACTTGTCCGGCTCGATCCGCCATCATCTCTCCCCGGGCAGCCAGACCCAGGCCCCCTGGGTTAGACGCGGGCTGGCGTCTGTCAGCTGACCGGGCCCTTTAAATGCTAGCTATTCCCTCTCCACCACCCCCACCCGTCCCGAGTCGAGCCACCTGTCGCACTTCCGCGACTCTAATTGGCTGACTCCTCACTCTGACTCCTCACATGACCTTTTAGCGCCTTGGAGCTGGACCCTCCAATTGGCTCTTTTTGAAGCCCCAGAGCCTGTGACCCGGGCTTCATCCCAGCTTATTGGCTGGGATGAAGAAGAGGCTGGCATCATTCCGCAGGAACCTTTTGATTGGCCGTGGCACCGGGGCGCGTCATGGGGGCGGAGCCTATTTTAAAGAGCTGGTGGCGAAAAAAAAGCGACCAAAAAAAAAAAAGGACTGAATGTCATGGAGGGAATGAAAGTCTCAGACTTTTTGAGAAAACAAAATATCAACCTTTAATAAATTTTTTTAAACTACAAAATCGAGATCTGGAAGGAGGGGTGAGGCTGGGAGGCTGTACAGGAGGGGTGCAGCCCTGAATCAGGGCCGCATCTTTCATTTCTTCCTCTTCTTGTCCCCCGGGAGCACTTCGTTCTTCTTGCCTAGAATCTTCAGAAGGGCTGTGGGCATGTGGTACGGCCTGTCCAGGGAGCCGTCGTTCCTCTCCAGGTCTTCCACTGAGCCACAACACAGACCGTTAGAGCGGACCCTCGGGGACCACCCCACTCCCCCGGGAAAATCAGGGAAGACGAGACAAGCTGCCTGGTTTTAGGCTGCAACGCCACGGGCTGTTCTTTTAGGGTCAGGTTTTGTAACCTACTGGGTAGGTTATATAATTTGTTTCTCATCGGTAAAGTGTGATCAATAATATTTCATAGCGTGGTAACGCTAACAACAACAACAAAATGCATGTCAATAGCGAATTGCAGATTGGAGTAGGTACTAAATCTTGAATGTAGAGTTGACCCTTGAGCGACACATGGGCTAAGGGGCGCTGACCTCAGTGCAGTCAACAATCCACCTATGACTTTTGATTCCCCAAATTTAATAGCCTACTGTTGATCCAAAGTTGGACTGATAATATAAACAGACAAGACATATGTTGTATGTTATATATACTGTATATTGTATTCTTGCAATAAAATAACCTAGGGAAAAAATGTTAAGAAAATCCTAAGAAAGAGAAAATACATTTACAGTATTGTACGGTATTTATCAAAAAGAATCCACACTTAAGTTGATCTGTGGAGTCCAAACCTGTGTTGCTCAATGGTCAACTGTATGTAGGAGGGTAAGAAAATCCCCACTCACTACAGCCATCTGCTGGGAAGTCTTTTGTGACTAACTTCTAGTTAGGGAAGGGTACCAGAGTCCTCTCCCTTGAAATGTTCTTTCTTGGGGGACCCTGCCAATTAGCAAACTAGCAAAGTTGTTGTTAACTAGCAAAATTGCTGTTTCTAAAAGCACCAGGTCTCCAAAAAACCCTAAACAATCTGGCACCTTGAAATTTGGGGGAACTGGTAGAGGGTGTCTACTTACAGAAACAGAGAAAGAGTGTGTCCACACACATGCCAAAAACACTGAAGAAGCCGTTGGCGATGACGTAGGCTCCCAGGATGGAGACCTGGAAGATACAGGACGTGTTAGACTTCTTTGGGGGGTTGCTGGACTGCAAGGCAGAGCCAGGGAATCACTCACCATGATGGGCAGCCAGTAATAGTTGAGGGAGGGGCTCTCAAAATTTGTGCCCAGCCCCTGGATGCGACCGGTGAAAAAAAAGAAGGACAGGACCCCTGTGGGAGAGGTCTGGAGGTCAGTGTCATCCCTCCTCTGAGGTCACCTGTTTGGCTGCCCTGTGTCCCTGCCCTTTGTGCCTGTAACTCCCAGCCCTGGCTCTTACCAACACCTCCAACCACCAGCAGCTTCCCAAAGAACAGCAGCAAGTCTGTAACTTTGTCCAGAACGACCACCCTGTATGGGAAGTTGGGGTGGGTCGGGCATGAGGGGACTGGCAGAGCTAGAAACAGGACTGGCTATATAAGTTGCTGTGTCAGATGTAAAACGAAAATTGGTCACATTTGAAGATGGATGGAGGCAGCAGAACATTAAACCAAGCTCGAGGCCCTCTGAGCACAGCATGCCCAGGAACCCGGCCTTGGGTGGGAGATCATGGGGGTGGGGGACAGCCTGACCTGACAATGTTCCGCATGAGCAGCATGAAGGCATTTTTGGCTGAGACACAGAAATTCTTCCCGTAGATGGCAATCTGAGTGAGGTCAAAAGATCAGAGTTACCTGTGCACAGCTTACCTGGGCCAGGGCAGGGGCCTGGGCCAAGGGACCCCACAGCAAGGGGCTGCTTGTGTAGGAGGGCTTACCATGATGTAGGCATTGCGGTTTAGGAACTTGATAAACTTCTCCAGGCACCAGAGGCAGCACTTAAAGCAGCACATGATGCAGCGGGCCACAGGGTTCTGGGCTCCTGGGAGTAAAGGGGCAGGGGGGGACGACTTATGTTTGGTCACTGGCCCCTGACAGCCGCTCCCCAAGGGGCTAGCTGCTCACCTCTCAGTTTGTTGTCAATGTACTCCAAAACGACCCGGGCTATCTGCACAAGGGTCAGGATGAGGGCTCCAAAGGCTAGCGACCCTGTGTGATATCTGCAGAGGGGTTAGGTAGTCAGAGGCAGCTCCAGGACCCCTGGACTCCCATGCTCACAATTCCCAGCTCCCTGCCCCAGGCTTACCGGAGTGTGCGGATGAAGGCAGAGATCAGGGGGAAGGTGGGGATGTCCCGACGCTTGTCCAAGGCCCAGTAGAAGGAGGCAAAGGCCCCAGCCAGGACACACTGGCCCAGGGCCAGTACCCAGTTGAGGGTCCAGAATAGCCCAAGGACCCCATAGATTTGCAAGTTGAAGAGAGAACGCTGGACCAGACCCGTGGATGAGTAGCTCTGGAAGATGCACATCAGTCCTGGGCATGAGGAGTTCACGGGTTGGGCCTGGGGGTGACAGAGTAGGGTTATTCCCAGCCAACTCCTGCCACTCCCAGAGTAGCAGCCTCCCTGAATTGGGGAAGCCATTTCCTTCCAGAAGATTCTTCTCCAGCTTCAAGTTGGGTTCAGATTGCCTATCATGTGAGAGTAATTAGTTGTCCCTCAGTCTCCATATGGACACAAGAGCATCCAGGCCTCGTGGGCTGAGCCTTAATGGCGTGAAGGCAGTGTGACCAGCACCTTGGCACCCAATCAGCAATCCCCTCTAAAATAGCCTCTGCAACTTCCACTGAAATGCTTTCTAGCAAAAATGAACAGACTGGGTATTAGCTGGTATTAAGGAATCATTGTTAACCTTGTTGGGTGTGATAATGGTATAGTCGTTATGCTTTTTAAAAATCCTTATCTGTTGCGGCACCTGGTGGGCTCAGTCAGTAGAGCATGTGACTTTTGATCTTAGGGTCAAGCCTCACATTGGGGGATAGAGATTACTTAAAAAAAAACAAACAAGAAAACCCCAGGGTGCCTGGGTGGCTCAGTCCGTTGAGCGTCCAACTTCTGCTCAGGTCATGATCTTGCGGTCCGTGAGTTCAAGCAGCGCATCAGGCTCTGTGCTGACAGCTCGGAGCCTGGAGCCTGCTTCAAATTCTGTGTCTCCCTCTCCCTCTCTGCCCCTCCCCCACTCATGCTCTGTCTGTCTCTCTCTCTGTGTCAAAAATAAAAACATTAAAAAAAAAAAGTCCTTATCTGTGGAGATCCATCCTGATGTGTCTACAAGTGAATTGGCGCTCATGTCCAGAATTTGCCTTTAAAAACTCCAGAAAAAAAGAATTGCAGAGGTGGGGAGGAATGGATGAAACAGGACAGTGGGAAGTTGAGGGTTTGTGTGTGTTTGAAAATTTCCATAATAAAAAGTAAGAAACTGAAATTTAGAAACCACCCTGTCCAGCAAATGTGACAAAAATCTTGATAATTGCTGAAATTGCTCAGCGTGTGTTTGAAATTTTATAAGAAAATAAACTACTTTGCCCTTCGTGTGGCTTTGTGTCAGTCTCTGCTGCTAGATCCTGAGCAAGTTGAAAGCGAGAACCAGGTCATTTGCAGCTTTGCATACCTAGTGCCTGGCACATGGTGGGTCCTCCCTAATGTAAACCAGCCTCCCTCCCCTTTTATAGAGTGAGCTGATGCCTGCGCGTCCCAGCTCAGATAAGGTGGCCACATGAAAGCTCTGAGGACAGCAGATTGCGGGCAGTTCAGTGCCACTTTCTGAGAGCCTGCAGGGAGTGTGGGGAAGGCCGAGTCCCACCCGCCTCTTGCCTAGGGTGCCGCCATGTTCCCAGGGAGAAAGACTTCAAACCACTAAGCAAAACTGGAGCACCTGGGTGGCTCTGTCGGTTAAGTGTCACACTCTTGATCTCAGGGTCATGAGTTCAAGTGTTGCACTGGGCCCCATGCTGGGCTTGAACCCTATCTAAAACAAAAACTAAACAAAACGCATCTACAACTGTCAGCTCTTATCAGGTGCCAGACGTTGTTCAAAGCACTTTATGTGCCCAATGTTGTTTAATCTTCTCAGCTCCCCTGAGGACAGATATTAGGATTATCTCCATTTTACAGATGAATGGACTGAGACTGGAGACTGAGTAGCTAATGTCCTCCTGGCAGAGGCAAGTCCAGGGGAGGAGTGGGAAGTGCTGGTAGCCAGCTTTCCCAGGGCCAGTATGCCTTCTCTTCCAGCCTCAGTTTCCTTCTCTGAATAAGGAGGTAGCTCGGCAGGAGGAGTACTGGATCTGGAGTCCAGTGCTGGCTCCCTTTCTGGCTCTGCTGGGGGCCTGTTGTGTGACCTTGAGTGAACTCCTTTTTCTCTCTGGTCCTCAGTCTCTGCTGCACAATGAGCGATTTGGAGCAGTTGGCCCCTAAGGTCACTTCACCCCCATGGATACCTCCATGTCCACCCTAAGTCCCCTCACCATGGGGTTGCATGATGTATTCATTTGCACT